CGGATGAGAGGTGAAACGTCTTCAAGCAACTTAAAGAAGTCCAGACGCTTTTCTTTGCAAGCTCCTTTGACTACGATGACCTGGATGACTGAGAACCTTCGCAGACATGTAGCTTAACACATTAACTGTAAGAGCTAAGGAATGATTTTAATGTTGTATAAACGATAGTATGTTAAGATTTTTGTGTTTTTAAATCTAGTGTCAATGTTATATTTGTCATGATTTAAGAAGCTGTCAATTGCATAAAACTATCAGCAGTCAATCATTAAAAAGCTGGGTGTGTCGCAGTCACATCCAGCAGGTAAGTGAGTGGACTCTTGCTCCAAAAATGCAAGATAGCCCCCATAAGATCCGACATCACAGTTTATAATTTGAGACAGTATGTTGATTCAGTCGCAAGGAAAATGCTGCCTCTAGAAATACAGAAAAGAGAATGCTGCACAAAAGAACTCACCAGATGGACTGGTTTTCTTCTGTTTAAACAGTACCTCTAAAGCATGTGCTACTTAATCTCAAGAATCCGCAGCTAATTTTTGCAACCAATCACCATGCACACACCCATCTATAACTGAATGTGTGCACATAAGGATGAAAGCAGGCACATTTAACTTTTAAAAAGGTTGCAAATATATAATTCTAGTTATGTAGTTCGTTGTTATGATGTAGGTTTAACAATACTGATTCTGGTCCGGTGAGATCTTTTAAAAGCTTTTTTTTTTAAAGAACTGGTTGTGATATTTTTCTTCACATAAGGCTGTTCTGTTGTGTTCATAACTATCTATCTCCTCTTTTTATTTGTATTTCTTTCTACATTGTAGATACAAACTGAAGATGTGAAATATATCAAGTAAGATATATGGAATAATGTAGCAAAGAAAAAATTAATAAATAACTCTAATAATAACTAAATATGTCTTATATTTTAGATTCCTGAACGTAGTCACCCTTTGCTTTGTTGACAGCACTGCAAATTGTTGGCTTTCTCTCAATTAGCTTCATGATGTAGTCGCCTGAAATGGTTTTAATTTCACAGGTGTGTCTTGTTAGGGTGTTTGTGGAATTTCTTGCCTTCTTAAAGGGGTTGGAACCATCGGTTGTGTTGTGCAAAAGTGCATAATCAGAAGAGATTTGTTTGGGCCAAGAAACACAAGGGATGAACATTGGACCAGTGGAAATCTGTTCTTTGGTCTGATTAGTCTAATTAAGATCTTTGGTTCCACCTGCTGTGTCTTTGTGTGACGCAGAAAAGGTGAACGGATGGTCTCAACATTCATGGTTCCCACCGTGAAGCAGGGAGCAGGAGGTGGGTTGGTGTGGGGATGCTTTGCTGGTGACACTGTTGGGGATTTATTCAAAATTGAAGGCACACTGAGCCGGCATGGCTACCACAGCTTCTGCAGCAACATGCCATCGCATCCAGTTTGCGTTTAGTTGGACCATCATTTATTTGTCAAGAGGATAATGACTCCAAACATACCTCCAGGCTGTGTAAAGGCTGTTTGACCAAGAAGGAGAGTGATGGAGTGCAGCACCAGATGGCCTGGCCTCCACAGTCACCTGACCTAAACCCAATCGAGATGGTTTGGGATTGGATGGGCTGCAGGGTGAAGGCAAAAGGGCCAACAAGTGCATCTCTGGGAACTCCTTCAAGACTAGGCAATTGCATTAACAAGCAGTTGAGCAGGTGTACAAAGTGGCTGCTGAATGCATATTGCTAATAAGCGCATTCCTGTGCCTACATTTAGATAACATCCACTTACCATAAAACAAAGTTCTAGCATGCTGACTGCTAGAAATATGTTTTGTGTATCTGTGTATTTGTTACACCAGTGTGTAACAATATCACAGTAATAATAGCAATGTAAGACATGGAACATGTCTTTTTTGCATGTGTAGGTGTATGTGTTTTAATTTGTTTTGCTCATGAAACCCTCGCTAAAGGATATTTTCCTGAAAATGATAACCTTCAAGTATTCCCTTGGTATTTCTGAAGGTATTCTGAGGTGCTATCGTTCTGTTGCTCTGAATAAAGGGCAGTGGGTTGGGGGTATTATAAAGTGCAGATGAGTTGCTAAGGTAGGACTGTATGTGGGTGGTTGTCTCTCAGGAGTTTTTCTGGAAGCTATGGAGGTCACAGTAGAAAGGTGCAGTAAATATGCTTTGTGCCAGCACAATGTTGGGAGTAAAATCCTTCTCTGCTCACTCGATGAGAATATGATTTTTTGCACTGAAGCTTGCTTAATCCATCCCACATACCTTAGCTAAAAACAGTCAAGCCTCTATTTATCATTTGGTTCAGTTCAGTTTAAATTTTATATCTCCAAACCAGAGCATAAGTAAATTTTAGACACCTTACATATGTAAAGTCAAAAGACCCTAAATAATGCCAATGCACCCGTTAAAGATCCAAACTTTCTAACAGGAACGGACTACGGAGACCTTGCTAACAACTTGTACTAACAGGTGGAGAAATAATAACAACTCAACCGGGACAGCTCACAAATTTCTGACTTACAAGACATCACAAGGGTAGAGATTGTTACATTTTAAAAACTACATGTAACTGTGTTTTAGTATATTGCCATGGAATTAAACATTTCTGAGGTCTGATTGGTTCACAGTTGCATCCTTTATACCCTGACTGTAGATATTAATGCCACAGAAGAATAAAACACCATTAATTGTAATTTGTAATTGTAATTTACTTTTTACAAACACACCTCAGGACAAAAGCTGTTAAGTGACAAATGCAAGTGTTCAAAGGTTATATAATTTTCACTCAGAACAGTGGAAAAGGAGCCTATTAAATTACTTGTGCATTTTACATTAAAAATCTCACATTATCTTACCTTGCAGAGACATTAGGCTCAACTGATGGTCCCAGGGACATGCTAACAAGTAGCTCCTTAGTTAGCAGTGATTGAAGCTACAAAATAAAATACACATAGCACCTTTAAAGCTTTCAGGCAGTTACAAAAACTGATCTGTCAGAGAGGTCCCTCTTAAAGACAGTAGCATTTTGTATAATTCTGAAGGTACTGCGCTCATTTCATTCTCCCTGACAGTAATCCCAGCCCTAACCCTTTAAAGAAAAACATCAGATCAACAGAAATCACACAAATTTGGATTTGAAACTGATTTTCGCCAAAATATGACATGTTTAAACTGATACAATGTAATGTGTAAATAAAAATACTCCTAATATTGCAAAAATATATATGTAATGTCTATATAAATTATGTTTTAGAGGGAAAAAGGAAGGAAGAGTACTGTAGAAACAGTAACCACCTTAATTCTTGGGCCACAAAAACCAAGTGAGTGAGAAGCACTTTGTAAAATGAGGTCATCCCCACACATCCTTTGATCCCTCCATTCTTCATCTTGGAGGCAAGTGGCATATAAGAGGATCTATCTTTGTGAACAGTTTTGAGCCTCCAAAATTACAAACAAACTAAAGGCAGGGGATCGATACAGTGTGTCTCACAGAATGATGAAGTGGCACTTCAGAGGGTGAAAATCAATGTCGCGTTCCCTTTCTCTCCTTCTCCTCTCGCCATCCTTCTTTGTGGGTCCTAACCTAGCTTCACAGTCCTTATACCACGGTGTTAAAGTGTGTATGTTGCTTGGAGCTTGGTCTCACACTGTGATTTAATAGTCCTTTGTTTTTTTTTTATTCCTTTTTAGCCTGGAAGACCCCTGCCACTATGATGTGTGAGCACACCCACCAATAATGGCCCATAGGATACACAGTGAAAGTAAGTGCTTCTGGTCTGATTTATGATTGGAATGTTCCTTCACCCTTTACTGTCCTTCTGAACCTCAGCTCATTTGTTGAGGTAGTATCGATCAGGATTACATAGCAATCATTAAATCATAGCATGGCACTTGACATGAAACTGCCAGCATGAAAGTACATATTTAGTACAACACATGCACTGGACAAACAAGTTCATTTCTGTGCATTTTTATAGCTCATGAAGTGTTGGAAGTGAAGACGCCATTTACAACTTTGGAAAAATAAAAGGAAGTTCATTATATATATTAAACAAAGAATTAACAAAGCTTCCCAAGGAGAAAATTGGATTTCAAGTGCTCTGGCAGTGGCTAGAAATTAATTGTAGCACTGTGGCAACTTTTGAAGATCGCATTCACAGCAGAAGGAAGCATATTTTGCCTCAATACTGGGACATTGTCCCCAAAGAAGTATAGGATTAGGTTTTGTTATGTGTTACTTACTGCTTGAGTTGAACAGTTTCAGTATCTGTTTTGCACTTACTGCTTTTGGTTAAGGAGGAGTTTTTCAATTACTGGAGCATGATTATATTTGGTTTGGGATTTTCAGGTTATGGCATAGACTAATGTACATCATTCATGTTTGTCTTAGTAATATTGTCTCAATATCAGTTCCCACTTAAATGTGGTACTTTTTGTGATGGATTCTACCAGAAACATTGGTAAGTTGTTTGATGAGCATGTACTGTACAAATATGTACAAAAAGAAAAAAACTGTCTAAAGTAGCTGACAGTTTGTGGTGTAGGTAAACATATGGCAGTTTCAGGCTGCTGGTTGTCACATCTGTAAATTTGATCAATATATTTATGGTCCTCACAAGGATTAGGGTTCATTGATTAGAACAAATATATCAAACTGAAGTAGTATAGATAGTAGTATAGATAGTGTGTAAACTGTTTGCCCGCTTCCTGATTTCCTGTATTTTGTATGTTTGTCACACTTAAATGTTTCAGCTCATAAAGCAAATTTAAATATTTAAATCACTTTTTCACACAGGGCCATGTAAGATTGGATTTTTGTTTCCCACTTAATCGTAAACAACTTCATTTAGAAACAGCATTTTTGCTTTTATTTGCGTTATCTTTGTCTGATATTTAAATGTGTTTGATGAGCTGAAAGATCTAAGTGGGACAAACACACAAAAAAATTTTAAAAAAGAAACACAACTGTAGATTTCAGTTGTGGCCCGATGATACATCCCTATAGTTTCAAGAGGTTTTATCTAACAAAACCAGCAGGACAGTGTATGCCAAAAGAAAGCATTGCCAGCATTGTGTACTGTAATTTACAGTTCTTGTAGTGATGAGTTATTATTTGCACTGATAACCATGTCACTTCAACATCATCAACATTGTCTCAAAATTTCTTTAGTACCTTAAATGTAGTCATGTTCCCTATTTCTTGTACAGTCTTTGCATTACTTGTCTCGATGTGTGGATGTATAGGACGTAATCTGCATGCACATAATCTGTATGAGTGAATGTATTCTGTGTTTGAGAGGAGTCTGCAATTCTGTTCAGGGCGTTACTTGCTTTTGTCATGTTGGTGAGCTCTGAGACAGCCCCTGTTGGTGCTGGAAGGCAGCGCTGTCAGCTATCTTCCTGTCAGCCCTGCCTCAAGTTCTAGAGCTGAAAGATGAAGCCTGAGACAGGTATCCACGTAGTGAAGTAGTTGGGGGAAATAGATATGCATTTATCTTATTCTCCATCTATAGTTATCTATATACCGTATGTAGCTACAGAGTCTATTTGTCTTCTTTTGTTTGTCTTTGTCTGTCTCCAGGGGTGCAGCATGGGGTGAAAGGCTGCTGTGTCTCAGCAGTGAAATATTCATAGTATGTGCAGGGAGTTTGACGAGGAGCACTTGACACTTCCATAGTCACCACCCTCATTTTCATTTCCTCTCTGGCGCTGGCACTTTACCTCAGAGCTCCGCTGGTCTTTCATTCAACACTGTATTATAGAGGCTCAGTACATGATGAAAACAAGCCCACAGCATGCTGCTTTCACATTTCATCGCTGAGTGAATGTGATGTTAAACAAAGAAAAATACTGCATATTAGTGAATATTTTAGCTGTAAATCTCAAATATGAATTTTTATTACTATTCTCTGAAGGTTTTCATGGTAAAATTGTTCATTGAGATGCTTTTTGCCATCCCTCTTGTGCTGCGATAATAGCAACTTGGGAACATTTTCAGTTTAAATTCAAAACGGATGATATATTCAACATCGGTTGTACCTGACTTCCAACATTTCCCTGTCTTACATCATCAGTCAAAAAACTCAGCCAAACACACCCAGTCGGATTACAGGTTTAATTACAGAATATCACGATAAAATAGAAATAGGAATCATATTAACAAGACAGGATTGGTCTAGTGAAAAAAGTCTGACCTCTTTCTAAAGCTGCATTGCACCTTGCCCCTGAATTATGGAATTATTGATTTGGTGCGTTTCTGTAAAGAATTCAACATTTTCTACCTTTTTATTCTCTTGTATAGTGATAGTATCTTAACAGCATCTTATCTAAATATAGGCATCTATCCCAGAAATAAGGAAGTAACTCAACCAAAAAGGTTTCAATATAAATAACAATTTTTCCAGTTTAGATTTCTATAAAAATTCATGTGAGAAGGTTTAACAACAACAAACCACAGGATCATAAGCTCTTTTTTAAGGAATTATGTGCAAAAATCTCATGTCATCTTTCATTTCTTTATATTTTGCTAATAAAATGGGAACTACCTGCTGTGATTTATTGAAACACCTGCAGACATGCATGGTACTAAACATATAAAGCAAAATATATAATATAGAAGTTTGTACTCATTGGAAATGCAAAAGTACTATTTTATCACTGTCAAACTGTTATCATTTTTCATAGACTAAAGATATGGACATACAATATGTGTTTTGGCTGCTAGTAACAGAGAAGTACCTAGAGATACAGTTTTTATTTGGTTCTTTGCCAAGTTGTCCATTATGCATAGACACAACATTAGTTCATTCCTTGACTTAGGTGCTTTTTCTTGAATGATCTATAGGGCAGTGTTAAGTGGCTTAAACCAAAAACAGTGGTAAGGTACACAGAATGGACTAAAATGAGTAAAGAAGCAGTTATCAAAAAAATAAATAAAAAATTATAAGACTTTGTGGCTTTTTGGAAGCAAAATCTAAAGAAAGAGGGTTGACTCAGGAGATTTGCACATTACTGTATGTAAGTACTGTGTGTAAGACATTCTGTAAAATAAAGTTTTACATTTGATAGTGTGTGCAACAGTTTCAGTTATTTCATTTTGTGTAAAGGCTCATGAAATTACATTTAATCTACTGATTTTTGTTAAGAGACCTGACATTTCCTTTAGTGTGTAAATGCATACAGATATGTTTCATGTCATAAACTCAAACCTCTTGTTTTACTTTATGCCCACTGCACAAAGTGATGCGGGCTCTTGAGCTAAAACAACAGTGAGCAGCTGGTCGGTGGATTTTACCAACCTGCTGAGCATTGACAAAGACTGTCGAGCAGATAGTCAAGTTCATACATACACACTTGCACAAACTTCTCATAATGTGCCTAGCAACTTCTCTCAGTCCTGCTACAGTTCACAAACACACACACTTCCTCTTACAAAGCTCTTCACAATAAAACGAGCCATGTATAATCCAAATGCTCTTTTAAATGTATTAAACATATTGCACTCCTTTTAAAAGGAATTGCAAAAAATTTTCTGAAAACTTTCATCATGATTATTTTACCATTATTATTACAAATTATAAGTTGATTAATAAAAATAAATAAACCAGTTAAAGAACAACAGGAAGATGTGAAATAACAGATAAAAAACAAAAACCCACATATACTGAATAAATCATTAGCCTAACACATAATAGTTCTTGTTTGTTTATACAAAATCAGTATTCATATGCATCATGTTGAAAACAACAATGTTGATATTTTTAAATAAAAAATATTACATTTTTTAATCATGTAAATTTCCTGCACCTGTCATAGACGTCCACATGATGCCCAAAAAAATTACCCAGTCCAAAGTTCAAATGTTGAACATCTTGATGTCGAGGCTGTGTCATGGTTGCATGTCCAAATTGCGAAGTTCGGATGTTGTCTAGATGTCCAGAATTGGTCATGGACCAACGGACACAATATAGACACATTTATCCAACGTCCATTGTTTAGCAGGTAGGAACCTGAGCCAATAGGTGTGCTATTTAAGCTGTTTTAGTCTGCTTACAGCTGCTGTGCATCTGCAACTCACTTTGCAACCCACTGCATCTGTATCTGTTGTAATCATTGTCACATCTGTTGTCACTGATGCCTGCTTTGTTGCTGCTGCTCTCTTTGCTTCGAGGCTTCCGAACATGGTTTAACATGAAAGGCTGGTGAGGTCTGCTATCAGGACATCTTGTCAATATATACTTTTCACCAAATAAAAATAGCAGTCGACCATTCGCCTTTTGACTTAACTCTGACTTTTAGGTTTCCTGGGAACCTGTTGGGTGTCAAGTAAATATACTTCCAATTTAATTATATTTAGCTTCAAAGTTTTTCTGACTGTCAAATAATATTTAGTACAATAGTATTCATGTACACAAACAGCAGTATTACCTTTTTGACACTATCATGTTTTGCTAAGAGATGCTGTGCTTTTTTACCAGGTGCTTTAGTCTTCTATCCATCCACTTTCGCTTAACAATACTCTCATCATTACAGGCAGATGTGAAATGTAAACATGAGATCCGAGGTTAAATGTCACATGATATTTCAATGCAAACTATAACGTGATATTTACAGTCCTCATATATTAGCATAGTTTCCTTTTTTTTTATGACTCAGATCAGATTATAACTCATTCACTGCCAGCCATTGGCAGTGAATGAGTTAAACCCATTGACTCATTCACTGCCATTGACGGCTATAGACGTCAATGGCAGTGAATGAG